TGTATATATATGTACATAAATATATGTACATATATATATATATATATATATATATATATATATATATATATATATACGTATGCATGTAAAGTGCATATATATGAAAATTTCTCCGATTTAACCAGTAGGAAGACAATATTTATGAATAAAATGACAATAGCAAAACTGGTAATTGCTGACGGGTTTCCTCCAATGTGGACTTTATTGTCATTTTTATCATAAATATATATATATATATATATATATATATATATATATATATATATATATATATATATGTGTGTGTGTGTGTGTGTGTGTGTGTACGTATGAATGTAAAGTATATTTAGGCAGCGAGAATGGATCCATATGTTTTCTTATATTCCAGCGTCAAAGTCTGTCAATAAAATTTTTTATCTTATCAATTTTGGAATGAAGTGTTGTACATCATTTTTAACTTATTATTTTATAAACACTCCAATATACGATTTTCTATGGAGAGATTTTGATTCTACTATAATATGATATCTACCATCCATTTTCTACTATAATATAATATTTACCAAGTGTTGAAAGTATGAAATATCTTTGGGTTAGGCGTTATGGTTAGAGTTTTGGACGAGGAATTAGGTTTAGTGTTAAAGGCAGTGAACAGTAAATTGCTTATGTATCAAAGATCATTAACAATTTTTATACAATAAAATTTAAAAAAAAGAACTCATCAAATAGTGATTTTAATGTTTGTAAATCGTTTTGATGCTATTTTAAAAAAAAAAACAGGTAATCGTTTTTCCTGAGCATTTACCAGCAATAATGAGTGCATCGTCATTTACGGTAGGGCCGCAAATGCCTCGGTAGATATCATCCTATAGCGTTACTGAAAGAGTTTTAATTATTGGTTGTTTTGTTTTATGCTTTATAATGGCTTCTAAAATTTAGAGTCAGTCAAGCAAGTCGTTTTGGTGTTACTCATTAACATTGATTTGATGTCATTAATTCACAAAAGAATATGTGTTTTATTGAAGTTTGTAAGAAATTATGCGCATATTTTCCAGTTAAACCATGATAAATAGCGTCAGAGAAGCTCCCAAGTTAAATGCCAGCAATCCCTCTCTTTATACATCTCTAAACACACATACTGCACACACACACACACACAAATATATATATATATATATATATATATATATATATATATATATATATATATATATATAAAAGAAAGAACAGTAAGATATATAATCCGGTGTTCTTATTGATACTTTTTATTTTAACAAAATAGGGCTCAATGTAAATTTATATATATATTTGTAGGCCATATCACCTTGAACCACCTGTTCTCGTTCGGTCAACGTTTTGCCTCTTCAGTGCTTAGATGGGTGACCACTTAGCAATACCCGGTGCGATAATCTTAGATGTGCGAGTGGCGTAATGGAGAACGGCTGGCAATTGGTCGTCAGAGAGCTGAGTTCCAATTCCTGATTTGATCGTTAAATTCATAAAAAAAGGCAACTACCATTGGGAAAGATTTGAATCCACCTCTTACTCTTCACTCCCGAGCTATGGGTTAAATAGTTGGATTTATATCAGTAAATCACTATTATCTCCCGAAAAATTCTTACAATGAAAAAAACCTGCTAAAGGTTGATAAACTGAAAAATAAAAATCATATATATATATATATATATATATATATGATTTATATATATATATATTTATATATATATATATATATATATATATATATATATATATATATATATATATGAAAGTGAACATTGAATTTATATTTATGGGTCAGTGGTGCACCAGAAGCGACAGGTTGTTTCATGCTAGACTCAATACAACAGCCTGTTGTCTCTGAGTGTTGACTTCAATGTTCCCTTTTATATTTGTATTTGCATATGATCTTCATCCCATAAATATAGCTCACCGTAAAACTATGTTTCTTCATATATATATATATATATATATATATATATATATATATATATATATATATATAATATATATATTATAAATTAACTGATTGAAAATATGTTTTTTTTCGCTACACAGTAATAACCATGTTTCAAAAATGGAAGCTAAAAACTTTAAATTTAATTATATATTTAAATTAAAAGCATTAGTTCCGTTTCATATTCAAGCGAATATTGGAATAACTTATTTTTAAATTTAGTGAGTTTTAAACGCACATATAAATTCAAAATTTACTGTTTCCAAGGATACAGAGAAATCCTATCCCTCAGACAGGGGCAGTAGCGTGTTCATTTTTATTAACTATTGTTGTATCAATTATAAGTTATGTTCGAAAAGGCTATATTTCTTTTTAAAAACAAGTAAATGTAATACAATTAATTTTTTTATATCTAATATATAGGTATGCATATTACCAGCTCCCATTTTTTAATTTTATTTTTTACATATTATTTAAGGAAAATTTTTCACACGTGGTTATTACTGTGTAGCGAAAAAAAAACATATTTTCAATCAGTTAATTTATAATGTTTATCTTCTTTAAATTTACATTGAGCCCTATTTTGTAAAAAAAAAAAAGTATCAATAAGAACACCGGATTATATATCTTACTGTTCTTTCTTTCTTTATATATATATATATATATATATATATATATATATATATATATATATATATATATCTTTTCTTCAAGTAAGGGGTTTGTGGGTCACCCTGTATTTCTTTAAATAACACCTAAATGAGATATTTTTGTATTTTTAAAGCAAACTCTAAAATGTCAATAACTCCAGTTAATTTGCTTTCATTTTCATGTAAAATAAGCACTTAAAAAGAAAACCTCATACAACAGCCTCAAATATTGTTTTCGTCAATAAACTATCACCTACCTTAATTACTCTTACTTACTTCTTTACAATTTCTAGCCTTTCTCTCCAAGACATTTTGCGGAAAATTTAGATCTCGAACATTCCAAAGAATTCTTAAGCACACTTTTATTCTTCCTTCGAACTCTACTACCCAATCTCCCCCCATATTAACAGAAAGAGAGAAAACTCAGTAGGACGAGGCCCTCCAGTCATAATTTCCAAAATGTTTTTTCCTATTTTTAAGTTGAGTTTATTTTGTCATAATTTAGAAGAGTATTTTGGATGGTTGTCCTGTTGAGGGGTCATTTTTTTCCATTTATTTTTTAAACGTAGATGGTATAGCATGTCCTTGCAATCGAAATATTCTTCTTTGTCATGATTCCCTTGACCTGAATCAACTTCTCAGTCCACTAGAACGTTCCCACGACATAACAGACTCAGCGCCATGTTTAACTGTCGCAACGAAATAATTATCTGGTTTCCTTCTCACTATCCACTTACTACAAAACTGTTCCAATTTGGGTTCGTCTCTTCACAATACATTTTGTTACTTGTTCAATGTTCAGTTTGAAAAAGGAGGGTGTTTTAGAGAAAATGCTAACAAAGAAGGACACGTATACGTAGCATTATTTGGAATTTCCTGATTACATAATGTTAAAAAAGAGCTTCAAAAAATTAACACACACGGGACAGCCTATATGGAAAGCAGCCGACATACCTAACGAGCTATTTTAAGAACTCTGGTGAAACGTCCGGCATTTTCAGCTATCGGCTTATTAGCTTTCTACCTCTTTTTGGAAAACTACTAGAGGCCCTCATCAATGCGAAATTGGTTCATAACTTCTTATCGCAGGGTCTTATTCAAGACAAGAAATATGGCTTTCTTTTGTGACGCACGGTGGCCGTTAATAATTAAGTATAACTCAAGGCATCGATATTAAAATAAAATAGCATTTAATTACAGCCGCAAATAAATACATAACACGAACAAAGAAATAAAAACCAACCAATGATAATGTTGTAACCAAGTAAATGGTTAGTTAATAACAAAAACCAGGTTTGCCGATATATTGTATATTAAACAGTAAGTACACCAGAAGAGTATTGCACGACTAGTGAGAGTGTATTGAATAAACTAGCGCTCAATCTATTCACTGTTCCCCGAACCCTCTCTCCTACTAAACTTATAGTAGGTGGAGAATCTAATATAATCTCTTAGAGGTAGGACACACTTCAACAGATAATTAACCATTTTAGTGAATGTTAGTAGCGCATCTTGGCTTAACGTCCGATAAATCTTAAATCAAAACCCAAATCATCGATGCATAATAATTCACACTAATTCGACTGGATATTTCCACTCAACAGTCGATCAATAATCACTGCAGTCAGTAGCCTGACACCGCTATTTATACACCTGGTGGAAAACATATATTCATAGAATGTAACGCTCGAACCTCGGTATTGGTAGTTGCTCATTTTCATCCTATATGGCACTTTCGTTTTTCCAGGGCAAATGCTGATGCACTGACAATAATTGCAGAAAGAGTCTATCATGCTTTGGATAAAAACGGTGAATCACGGTCTGTAGCATTGGACATCTCAAAAGCGTTTGACAGAGTGGGGCATAATCCTTTTTTATTCCATAGGCTGAAAAATTACGGTGCCCCGGACACATTTTTGAACTGATCCAGCCTTTATTAACAAATCGTGAAATGAAGGTTATCCTGAACAGCCTCACGTGTATATCCTTTTTGTACTAACGCGCATCTATCACAGGCCTCCATCCTTGGTTCTACACTGTTTTTAATTTCATTAATTAGCATCCTGATGACATCAGCTCAAAACTTGGTATCGACGCAACCATTTACTCCTGCCTCGATAGTAATGCTGAACAGTCCGACAAGGTTGAAATAGCAGCCGATGGGCAAAACGATCTCAAGTCCGTCGTTAACTGGGGCAAAAGATGGCTTGTTAATTTTAACGTCTCGGAAACTAAACTTCTCTCAATTAAGCATCTGAGAGATACTTCTCTGCCTTCTATCATCATGGCTGATGCTAACCTCCAGGAAAATGACTTGTTTCACCTTCTCGGGCTAACGTTTGTAACGAGCATGCGCGGAAGCGTCCTCGAACTGCGTGTGTGTGTTGTCGCCGGGCACACCTTGGAGTACCATAATGGACTCGACCGAGGACTACAAGAAGACGCGCGAGTCGTTTGGCGTCTTTTCTTGGGCGAGAATAGCCGTTGCGGTCTGTCGTCCGTCGGCGGCAATCTTGGGTGCCGCTTTGCTCGTTTGCTGTCATAAAGTGTTCGTTCGGAAGAGAAGGCGTTCGTTTTTGTGTCGCAAGAAGTTGAGTCCCCCCCCTTTCTCGCACAACGTTCTCAGCTGAAATGAAGTGAAAAGACTATATTGAATCCTTTGTTAGGTCAGCAGCTACAAAAGTCGGTTCATTGTGTCGTGCAAGACGATTTCTCTCCCGAATCTATCTTGCATATCTATGTCTACCATTCGTCCGTGCTTTGAATATTGCTGCCGCATTCGGCCCGGTTTCCCTGTTATTTACCTTGAGTTGATAAGATCCAAAGAAGAATCAGCAATATTATTGGTCCTGATCTGGCGGCTCGGCTTCAGCGAATTTTTATCACCGTCTCTGTGGCTTAATAAATCCTTTCATGGTAATTGTTTGGTAAACTTTTTGAATTTAAGCGCAGTACTAGACTGATGTCTTTATTTCATCAATTTTCAGTTGAGCTAACGAGATGTAGCCGTGATGTTGCATGTCCTGAAGTGACACGGCACATACAATATACTCAAGATATATTTGAATCTTTCATAGATCATAACAAAAATAAGCATGAGAACGGGGCCAGGAAATATCGTTTCTAATATCTATCTATCTATCTATCTATCTATCTATCTATCTATCTATCTCAGTGATTACCTATGCATCACTTTTCAGTCTCAGTCTTTTAATATCTATCTATCTATCTATCTATCTATCTATCTATCTATCTATCTATCTATCTTTGTCAATCTGATTATTATCTATCTATCTATCTATCTATCTATCTATCTATCTATCTATCTATCTATCTATCTATCTAAGTCTGTTTCTATCTATCCTTCTATCTATCTATATCAGTCTGATCATTACCTATCTATTTATCTACCTATCCCTAGTCTTTTCATATCTATCTATCTATCTATCTATCTATCTATCTATCTATCTATCTATCTATCTATCTATCTCATTGCTTGCCTAAATATCTCTCTTCAATATCAGTCTTTTCATATTTTTCTTTCTATTTCAGTCCTTACATATATATCTTTTTTTAATGTAATCTGTGTATCTAATATGGTTCTTTTGTATACACGCACTTATGCGTTATGGTCAGACAAATTTATTTTTGATATTTTTCTTCGGCCGGAAGTGCTCATATTGCTTAAAGCCAAAGGATATGAGAATATAATCATGTTGAATTCACAATGAAAACACATTTGAATATAGCAGATTCTTCCCACCATTAACAATGCATTAAACAACACCTTTCGGTATCTTTGGGCATCCTTTCAAATATACAATCTGAACTGGAGATCGAAACACGGGGAACGTTTAAATTATCACCTATCATAGGATGACCAACTGTCGACGTCGTTTACACTCTCAGATACCAACAATTTCCGTGTCAATTTTGCTGTCTCGCCGTAAACAACACTACGCTACTTTTCTTTATAAAAATGTCCCTTTTATTAGAATGTTAGATTCGATTTCGTCATATTCTCACAACCTCACCGCTCGCTCGTTCATTTTTCTTTTTACTTGTCTTCTTTTAATTTCTTCCAGTAGCCTGACCAGACTTGAGAAGCTGCAGCAAGCAGTAATGTACTTTATATCAATTCTGTCGGACGCCTGCCGGCATAGAACAAACTAGTACGTGTGTGTGTGTGTGCCCCCGCGTCGGGATAAAGGTTGTAGTTTTTGTCGTGCCTTCAGGAAATGCAAATGGACAGTATTTTGTTGTGGTTTCTTTACTTCTCTATAATTTTACGCGCTCATCGCCCGCGGTGATTTCCTTTCTCTCTTCGGCCGTTCGTGCGAGCAGCCATTTGCCGTCCTCACCGGCCCCCGTTCAAATTTTCTCGCGAAGTGACTTAAGAATTCCTTAAGTTTGGACAAAAACCTATTATTTAGAACGTGTCTCTAATCAGATGCCCGGATCTGCCAACTAGTAAACGCGCGTGCGCGAAACGCACCCTGCCGCACATATTCACACAGGCACACACATAGAATTAAATCCATTTTCGTGCAATTCTTTTATATAAATATGTATATAGGCGCAAGCGAACAGCAATAGACGACGTATGAAATGAATACTTGCACTTAAGTTACTGTTCTCCCTCAAGATAGTGTATTAATATGAGTAACAATTGTAAATTATATATATATATATATATATATATATATATATATATATGCACACGCAAAGAAAACACACGCACGCGCACACACACACACATATATATATATATGTATAAATCAAATGCTTGTCTTAGAGTCTTCTTAGGGTTCATGTACTTCGAAATAAGACAGAAGCCATCACAAGTGATGCGATGGTGAGTAAGGTGGATTTCAATATATTTTCTATTTTGAGTAATAGATGCAAGTGATATATATATATATATATATATATATATATATATATATATATATATATATATATATATATATATATTTTTTTTATTTTGAGTAAGAGATGGAAACGTTATATATATATATATATATATTAACAATATATTTTCTATTTTGAGTATTAGATGTAAGTGATATATATATATATATATATATATATATATTAACAACATATTTTCTACTTTTAGTAATAGATGTAAGTGATATATATATATATATATATATATATATATATATATATAAACAATATATTTTCTGTTTTGAGTATTAGATGTAAGCGATATATATATATATATATATATATATATATATATATATATATATATATATATTAAAAATATGGCTTATGCATCAACAATATTAAATTCAAAAGTGTTTCCATCATTTTACGTTGTTATATTCGTTTCCCCTACCTACAAAATTAATTCTTTCAATAAAAGTAATCTTTAGTCAGAAGGAGTCCATATGTTCGGAAAGTTTCATACAGAAATTTTCCACTTTGTCATTATTTTCTCGAACATTGTTCTGATATATAAAAATTTCAAAAGGTGAAATGTTGAAATAACATGGACGAAATTTACTTTGCAGGATCTCGCAATTATAATTTGCGCCTAGGTTCTTCAAACACTTCATCTTACTTGGCAGATCTTCTATTATCACGGCGTCTCACATTGTGATAATAACAAAGATGATTAAAAACATAAACAAAAGCAAAAAGAAACTAAATGATACAGTATATACCCCAAAATATATTAAAATAATACAGTAATATTTCAGTGTTCCCTTCGTCTGTGCGCATGTGCAGTTGCATCAACATAGCTTTTGTGGACGAACCTTAAATTAAATATTTTTACACTTTCAAATTAATTTTTGTAACATGGTATAATTATATATATATATATATATATATATATATATATATATATATATATATATATATTCATACACGTTTCAATAAATAATATACAAAGTGTTGTCTATTTATTTTATGTAAATTTTTTCGTAACGTCTGATAAGTTTAATAACATTATCGTTGAACGAAGAAAGAAATTCACAATATTGATCCATATTTTTTAATACAATCTAAGCTTTCGGCTTACATAAGCCATTATCAAAGATGTCAATTACAACATATTAAGCAATATACGGTCAAGACAGTGATGATTGTCTGTGATTTTTTACATAGATGATTTCTAAGCAACGGTAAACACATGCATACAAGACGCTAGAAGCGAAAATCGCACCGCATCTCATGACGTCACACATGACCACACGAGAGTGAATTGGAGAAGTATGAAGTATGGAAATCGTTGGTATATAAACCAATGGCTTCTGTTACCAATTATAGACATTTAAGAATATTTGTAGAGATGCCATAATTGATTTTGTTTAGGTTGGGTTTCAACTGTTTGATGTATAATGCTTCAAGGATTTTTAGTTTTCGTCTATATATATATATATATATATATATATATATATATATATATATATATATATATATATATATATCTCCAGATAAAGAGAAAGAACAGTCAGAATCCACAGTTCTTTGGGATTTACTTTTTTTAAAAAATTGCTCGATACATCTTGGAGTATAGTATTTTAATAATATTTTATTTAAAAATATTTAACATTGCGACATGGAAATTTATGTTTCGGAACTAAAAAAAGTTACCTAACATCACTTGATAATAGAAAAATATAATATATATATATAGTGAACACTGAAGTCAACAAACTGTTTCATACATGAAATAGTCTGTCGCCTCTGATTGTTGACTTCAATGTTCACTTTTATAATTACATATTCTCCATCTATGATATAGAGCATTTTTCCCTTAAATAGAGCATATCTAAAACTATACTTCTTTATATGTATAAATATTCCACATATAGACTATTTCGCTGCATCACAGCTCATCTGTGTGGCTAGACATCCGATTGCTTTAAGCCGGGATCGAAATTCTACTGATTGGTCATTAGTCAGAGACTCTACTCCTAAGCTATTTGTGCAGAGTGGTAAAAGGGACTCTTTTAACGTATTATATGCGTGATGTATAGAAACGCTTACTCAGCAGCCAGAGCAATATGTTGGTAGTAGGAGCAACCACTGTTAAAAATTCCCTTTTCTCTATAGTGCTCAATTGGCAAACGGGAGCAACTGAAGTTATGCAGAACACAGGAACCTCAATGATTTGCTTCGAACAATTTTCTCTCAAATTTTAAATGATTAATTTTGATGTCAAAACAAAGCTTGAGTTAAATTAAAATTATTGGATTTATTAAAAATATTTGCAGTCTGAAATAATTATGTTGCTAAAACGAATATTAGTCTAAGGCCACTGGAATCTAATAAAAATAATTCTTTTCTTTTTGTTCATAATAAATGTTGTAACATGGATAATGAAAATTGCTGAAGTTAGTAAGTGAGGAATGTTCACATTGGAGATATCAAAAGAACTTCACAGAGATCGTCAAACGATAAAGAATGCAGCTGGAAATATAATTTGAGAACGAGCAGAAGAGGAAAAGAATTTAAAGACTTCTTTCCTTGACGGGAATCTAGATTAAAACGAGTTATGGCGAAACACCAACTTTTGACCAGTGCTTAGTTTTTTGAATAGAATGGAATTGAGGATCTCAAGGAGGACAAAAATCTGTCACAAAATCTACTAAGCAAACTATGCTCAGTAAAGGAAATGTTTTAAAACGTCTCTTTAGCCTTTCAACAAATATCCTTCCTTTTTTTTATCCCGACATCGATGTTTCTTGGTAAAATTTCCAGTCTTCAGGGGTTGTGGGTTTACAGGGTATTTTCGTTTTCTCTTAAATTTTCAAAAATGTAATGTTAATTGACATCTTGATTTTGATCCTTGTCATTGTTTTTATCCATTCCTCAAACAACCCCCTTTACTCTTGCTCTCAGTCTCTGTAACCCGATGTGGGTAATGGCTCTCCCCACTTGCTTGGGGGAAAATGCTTAAAAAATACAAAAAAAAAAAAATAATGTAATTGTTCCCCTTTTCATTTGTATCATTTGAATAATTCATTTATTCTTTATTAAAATTAAATGCTGTCATTGTAGTTGTAGGTGGACGTACTTTGTCGCCTGCGAACGAATATTTTAAAACCTAGCCCGTCTCTGGATGTAACGTTCATTCTTGATACCAATGCTGAGAGAATCTTGGAGATAAAAATTGATGATGTCGCCAAAATGGTGACAGATGATATTGGCACAATACAGTAAATATGTTGTGAATTAAATTTCAATTCGGAAAACGTATTTTTACTTAATAGACCAAATTAGCTTTTAGACGATTACATAGAAAATATATTAAAACACAGATGATAAAGAGATTTATAAATTTTAAAAGAATCAATGCATTCGGCCAAACTGTTGGGGAATGCAAAAATCGATATTAAATTAAGAATTGATAAAAAAGAAAACTACTGATTACTTAAATAATAGGAATGATTTAATAGAATGAAATTTTAACATTGTAAACAACAAAGCAGCGTCGCGGATTGTGGAATCGGAGAGCCGAGTTCGAATTTCAGTCGAATCTCTTACATTTACTTACGTGCTAATAACCTTGGGAAAAGTATGAATTCTCTTCTTGCCCCAGCTATAAGTAAATAGCAGGACAGACCGTGTTCTATAGCCTTGGATGGTAACTGGTCTACTGCAGAAAGAAATGGTAACCTACTGCGGGAAAAATCTGCCTCGTCAGTCATGTAGGGAAAGATACATGATCGCCTAAGCGTCTTATCACGCATGGTACATAACTGACTGAAATAAGAATGTCTTTGTTTGGTATCAGGAAGAAATCCCTATCAATTATTCTTTGCATGAGATAGTGATAATTGAAATTTATGTGCCACACAATAAGGAAAGGGTACTCGGAAAATCTGACACACGTTAAATGCAAGAAAATGCAAAGAAAAGCAGCGCACTATCTGCCTAAAGATCTTTTTTCGCTCACTGGACACATGGCTCAAGGACACATGGCGCACTGGATGAAGGCGTTAGCTAGATCCAGTGTGAGTTCAATACCCGGTTAAGGCAGTGGAGAACTTTGCGAGGGGAAGTAACAGGTGATAACTGATAACTGACATCCATTAAACATGGCAAATGGAACTCGAAGAGTCTACCCCAGTGAGCGAAATAAAGGGTTCAGTTCGACATTCCAACCACATGAAGAAGGCCGGAGCGTACAACGGCCGAAACGTTGCATTAAACATGGCGACAAAGATGAGGACAATTCGTTTAAATTGTTTGGTAGTGATGTAAGACACCATGGATGAGTTTACGCTCCCTCTCTTTGCATCCTTCTGCCAGGATATCTAATTTTTTTTACTGCAGAAAGTTTGAAAATGAAACGATTTAATCATTGTTATTTTCTGTATAACTGGTTTTGAATAAAGCGAAATGGTGTCTAATAAAATAAATAAATACCCTGTCGTAAACACAAGAAAA